GTTGACTCCGGTCCTGTGGGGAAAGCCTGGGCAGACCCTGCTCTGGAGGAAAACGGGGCACATGTACCTCTATTCTGGTTTCAGTATGCAGGGCCCCAAAGCACCTTCTTTGGGAGCCTGCCTGAGGCCAAGCTGGTGGACCTGGACTTTCTGGGAGCACCCACAGGGCTGGATGGGGTGGGGTGGGGGTGGCCCGCTACAGTGATCCACCACAGCACTCATCCACACTGCTCACACACATTTGCTCCTCCCACAGCAAGTTCATGGGCAGGTATGAGGGCTTCTTCATGAAGAAGAGCTTCTTCACGTACCAGGCCATGGGTAAGTGGGGGCCTATGGGGCCCATGGGCTCCTCTTCCTAACAGCAGCTCCCTCCTAGGCAGCGACAGCCATAGTTCCTAGTGGTAGAGTAACCAAGGCCAGTGTGGAAGCAGCTGGGGTCAGGGAGACTGGGTCAGGTTGCAGGGCTAAGGCTCATTGGCCCCCAAATTGGCCAGAACTGAGCTAACAGTAGACAGATAGGATTCCTCCCATGGCTGCGTGTCCAGCTTTGGCCTCTGTGGGTACCAGTCCCTGGGTGTGTCCAGGCTGGGGCTGGAGGGTGGGAGCACCCTGCCTGTACCCAGGCAACAAACTCAGGCTCCAGAGGCCCCTAAGTGTGGGAACAGGTGTCACTGCAGGCTCTGCTTTTGGGCTCTGGGTTCCAGTGGACCTAGTATTGTGGAAATGGTTGTGTTCTGGGCACTTGTGCTCCCAGGTCCTGCTCTGGGAGAGCAGAGTGGGGAGGGGCCTTGTCACCTTCCTCTAACTGGGCCTTGGCTTGCTGCGGCTGACGCTGCCCACCTTTCCTCCATCCCGCTGTCTCCTGCCTCCTGTTCTTGGTCACCAGTGGCACCAGCATGTAGGCTGTCCCCTAACCATGTGTGCTTTTCTCTTTCAAGAGAAGGCTCAGAAATAACAGGACCTTGCCAAAGCCAAGATCCAGAAGGTTCTGAAAGAAAAAGACCAACCAACTGTGGATCTGAGCTCCATGGAAGTCATTCTCTGATCTCTTCAAGTGGTTTGAGAAGCAGGATGTGATTGAAGGCTACTGTACAGTAGGTGTGTCAGTGCCCATCCTCCTGCAGCAGGTCCTAGTGGGCAGCAGTCAATGACCCACCTGGGCTGCCTTGTGTACCCACCTTTCATGGCTTAACCCAAGCCCATTGAGCTGTAGGCTGCCCTCCCCAGTATGCCCTGATCCCTTAAACTTGGCACCTGGCTGAGCTTTGCCCTGTGCCAAGGCTGTGAGGCCAGTCCTACCGATGGACCCAGGGTGAGAGTGAGGGTGCTGTCCACCTGGGGAGGCCAGAGCATGTGAACAGAGGAACTGTAGGGCACAGCCTGGAGGCAGGACCATACAGGCCAGGGGATATCCCGGTGACAGTAGTGACCAAGGAGCTAGCAGCTGCCTTCTGGATGAGGGCGTAGGCCCACCCAGTTCAACCTCACAGACCGCCCTGGGTGGGGGTGTGTAGGAGTCTGGGCCACACACAGGGCTGACAAGCAAGGGATAGCTCTGGTGCCAGGCAGGATGAGGGGATGGGCAAAGGGCCTATAGGAGGCAACAGCAGCCAGAGAGATCAGGGGTCAGGCCTGGTACCCAGGGATGGGGAGGCCTGGGTTGCGTGTGGAGTTTTCTCCAAAAGACAAATGGAAACTGCTACTTCCCTGTGGCCTTCCTTGCCCGGGCTGCTGCTTCATGCACATCCTAGAGTCTCAACAGGGCTCTCTTCACACTTGATCCTGGGGCCCGTCTCCCAGAGTAATAAGCTGTCAGCAGTAATGCCCCCTCACTCCTAAAGAAAGAAGTATGCCTGAAGAAGTGTGTTGAGGATTGCATCACCAGGATCCAGAAGGATGGCCAGAGGTACCAGGAGCTGAAGGCCCACACAGAGGAGAAACTGTGGCTGTGAGTATGGGGACACTGTGGGCCACTGGGGGAAGGAGGAAGGTGAGGCCTCCCCTCCCTTCTGGGTGTCCAGGGCCTACAAGGAGATCACTCATGTCCCGAGAAAGGCCCAGGCTGAGGCGCTGGCCTTCCAGGTGAGCCTGAGGAAGGAGCCTGTAGGAGTCAACAGTGGCAGGAGGTGTTGGGATCGATCTCTCTCACCAGAGCAAGGAGCTGAAATAACTGAAGCAGTTCAAAGATTTGGGGATGACGCCCACCTAACTCAGTCCCAAATATACCCTGTAGGAACTACTGCAGTACCAAATGTGGACCCCCATTAGGACTATAACAACCAATGAGACAGGGGTCTTATAGATCACTTTTTACATTGCTTAATGGAAGGAATAAAAAGAAAATCAATAAATTATAATAAACTATCAACCACTGATCAAGGGCCCCAAGAAAATCCTTTTCCATTTTTAGAAAGATTAAAAAAGAGGCTCTTCTTAAACACACTAACCTACATCCCAACTCACCTGAGGGACATCTAATATTAAAGGATCATTTCCTAACTCAGGCAGTCCCAGACATCTGGCACAAATTATAAAAACTAGCCTTAGGTCCAGGAACACTGGTGACTGACATCCTAAAGGCATCATCCTTAGTTACTTTAATAGAGAAATAGAGGAGGAGGAAAGGAACAAGGAGAAAGAAAAGCAGAGAAAAAGGCAGGTTCAGCTCCTTGCTGCATTTCAGACCCAGCCTTCTCAGAAGCGGGGAAACCCAAAGGTGTCCATTGGCAACTGCCATCCCTGTGGAAAGCCTGGCCATTGGAAGTGGGCCTGTAAGGTGAAGCCAAAACACCTTGTCCCAAATGTAAGGAACCTAGTCATTGGGCCTGTGACTGTCCTGGGTCCCAAAGGGGACATGGGCTGGAACCACGCGTGATCTTTGACTGAGGAGGCCCTCTGCTCCAGCTGGCTCCCAACAGGACCATCATTTGAATGGGATGGAGCTAAGGGTCACCGCAGATGTGAAAGGTTCCTACAGTACCCACCTCCCTTTTCTTCCTGATTCTGAACAAAACACCCACGTTGAAGTGGGTACAATGCTATTTTCAAGATAGCTTCTCCCCAACTGTTACCCATCTCCACAGCTGGCTCCACTCAGCCCTTGCCCACAGCAGTGACACCATAGGGGAGGGAAAAGCATTTTTAACTTGCTACTTTAATTTTATACATGTGAGCAATAAAAAAACTAGCAAAACCTATAAAAGCAAAAATAAATACAAGGATTTGGTGTCATACAACATGGAGCTGCCCACTGGCCTTCCCCATTCCCTGACCCCACTCCCTCTGAGGAGCAGATCTGAGCATGGTCCACCCTGGCTGGGACATCACATGCCAGACAGTAAGCAAAGAAGGATGGGGGCATGTCACAACAACATGGGAGCCAGTGCCTGGCCCATGGTGGGCCAGACCAGGGCCAATTTGTATGCTGAAATGAAGTAGATGGTGAAGGGCTGCACTGTAGGTTCAAGATTGCAAAATTGATAGTAAACATTTACTATTGGTTGAGTCACTATATTTTAGGATAATCTGTTGTGTTGCAATAGATATTATGTCTATCAAGTTTCAAAGCTTTTCAAAACAAATTGAAAAAACAAAAAGGCCCCGTGTCTGGCCACAAGATAGGCCTCACCAACATTTTGACAGTTGCCAGATGGGAGGGGAGTTTGGGGGGGGGGGCTGGGTGAAAAGGTGAAGGGATTAAGAAGTACAAATTGGTAGTTACAGAATAGTCACCGGGATGTAAAGTATAGTTCAGGGAATATAGCCGATAAACATTGTAATAACTATGTATGGTGCCAGGTGGGTGCTAGACTTATGGAGTAATCTCTTCATAAGTTATATAAATGTCTAATCATTAGGTTGTACACTTAAAACTAATATAATATTGTACGCCAACTGTAATTGAAAGATAAAAACATTATTAAAGAAAGGCTCCACCAACTCTTCCGGGTGTGGCCTTTTTGAATCATCTGCTCCCTAAGTTGTGGCTTTCCACAGACAGCGCCAGCCTCAGCCCAGCGCCCTCTCCTGGCTGCTCTCCGCAGCCACCAGACCTACCTGCTGTCCCAGACCTGGTTGTGCCCCCATATCCTTCAGAGATTCCCTACCTAGTACCCCATTCTTCAGCCTGCTCCTGACCAATCAGCTGACAGACTCGCCTCCCAGAGGCCAGCTAGCACCTGGGTCACTGCCCAGCACAACCCCTAGATGAGGTCTGAGCGTCCTGGCCACACACACAGGCTTTCCAGTCTCTGTACCTGTGACATCCCCCAAGTGGTGTCACACATCTCTGCCTGCCATTCCCACACCCACTTCCCAAAGCCTGGGCCAATGCCACCTCCTACCTGTCGGAATCAGTTAACTTAGGCCCCTCTCCTGCCGCCCACGTGACAATTCGCGACCAGCCCCAGCTGGGCAAAGCATCCCCTCTCCAGGACTCTGAGCTTGCATCTGCTACCTGAAAACGACCAGCTGCTGCCAGCTTGGAACACAGGGGCGGGAAGCTCACAGCCTCGGTGTTCGGCGCTCATGAAGACCCGGGGTTCTGGCACCCTCCCTCGACTTTTTCTCAGAGGGAGGTGGCCCGCGAGCCCCCGACCCGACTGTCAGCCTCCGCCAACCAGAGGGACACAGCCAGAGTGAAGGTGACCTCGGGGCTGTCCTTCGCGTCCCCGCCGCCCATGGCGTGGGCAACAGGCCAGAGCATCCCGGTCTGGTGGAAGTCGGGCTGGCGCAGGGTGCTCTGGAAGATGAAGTCCCGCCACTGACCGGGAGAGGTATTCTCGGAGGTGGAGTCCCCGCTAAGCACTCCGGGATATGGAGTTCCAGCGCCCCGCACACAGCCAGAAGTCATGAACTGCTGCGCCAGTCCTCCCTAGTGGCCCCTCCTCAAGACCCGCCTTGAAGGCGGTGCTGCACGTGGTCCTATTTTCCAGCTGGGGAGATCCGGTTCGCGCAGCCTCCGCAGTCACCGCTGGTCCAAGAGTAGCCCTTCCCCTTTGCCCTTTCAAGGACTTCCAGCTCTCCAGCGCCCGCGGCGCGCTGAGGGCGTGGCGTGGCTGGCCCGCATGTCCTCCTATTGCGGTGGTGGACAGCCTTCTGGCCTCCAGGCCTCCGCTCTTCTGCTCCATCCTCGGCTTCGCATCGCAGCCAGTAGGTAAGGCGGAGGGCTTCTGGTCTCGAGAATCTGTTCCAGCCTCCGGCCCCTTCGGTGGCAGGTGGGCTCTGGCCAACTTCCAACCCTAACGCGAACCGGCCCTCCCACGGCTCCTGGGGGGTTGGGGGAGGGGCGCTGCCCACAGGTCCCCTCCTCCCTGGAGCCCCCTGCGGGTTCTAGACACCAGCCTCCCCGGATCCTCGTTCGTCGTTGTCCTGGACGGTTCCATCGGACACGGTCTGCGGGCTTCCCCCAGAACTTCGTCCAGCCTCAAATTTCACATCTGGTAGTACTAGCAA